GCAAGAACAGAGCTCAGACAGTGTTGGCTCATGAAAGTGAAGGGCTGGGTCATCAAGACTCACTTTTAATAAACTATAACTTTTGTTAATAAATAAAAGTGCTGAATGCCAGTCTGTGACTGGGCCACATGGAAATCTATGTGTATGAGAACAATTATAGGTATTAAGTACTTTAAAACTATCTTATAACCAGCAACACAATCAGAAGTGATTTTCTTTTTTTTAAACAATTGATAAAACAATACAGACCCATGCTCAGAGTGCACAGTTATAATTCGTACTTAGAATCAGTATAGCACTTTTTGGTTTTCAAAGTGCTTTTGCATCCTATTATCCAATGCAGTTCTGGAAGTTTGGGGGGCCTGGAATCTAGTCTCTGTGAGTTACATGATCTGGGATTAGATTTAAAATTTTTTCCCCTATGCTTTCATATCTTTGTATGCAAAATAAGATAATAATTATTGGCCTGCTAATATTCTAGGTTGTTCAGGTAACATGAGTTAATGGGTTAAGTGCTTTTTAAAAAATACTTCACAATTGTAGGGAGGGTAGTTTTATGAAGATAATAGTCTCCATGTGCCAAGTGGAATTACAGATAAGCTTTAGGGGAAAAGAGAAACAGAAACACAAACTTTCGTATTTCAATCCCATTTTCTCTTGAGAAAATAACATAGATGCTATTCACTGATCTTTTAGGCCCAAGTGGCAGGTAATCCTCTAGCATTCTTGAAAAGCTTCCAAGTAAAACAGAAAAAGAGAACCTTTTCAGACTTTGTTTCTCCTATGAAAATCTCTGGAGAGAAGGAAGGCGTTTTTTAACCTCTTTAGGAAGAAGCAACAGCCGACATTTCCTTGCTCAATATTGTAACGTTATTTACAGAACCGGTCTTTTCAAGAGCTCTCTCCCTTTTTACACATAGCAGGAAAACTGCTGCTGTCTTACAGAGCAGAAACATCAGCCACAGACTCAGAAACTTAAAACGAGAAGGAATCTCAGGCACCATCTTGCCCATGTTCGGCTGAGGAAATTGAGGCCTGCGGCACTTCTGTGATGTGTTCCAGCTTTTGGTGAGAGAACTGGGGCTTGAATCCAGACTACAGTCAGGTCTGTGTTCTTGCTACTCTTTCCAGAATCTTGTATCTACCAAAAAAGCTCTGTTCTGTTTGCTTACTGCACAGTTTCTTGTCACAATTCAGATGTGTAATTGCAACCCTAGACTCATAATGATGAATAAATGACGCGCGGGGAATCGCTGTCTGATTTGCCTCTGCACACAAAATTCTGTAAATACTAAGACACATAGTGGGCTCTTAAAAAACGTTGAACCTGACATGCTATTTAAAATTTAAATAGCATCCTTTCAATTCAGAAATGCTTTTGGAAATAAGAAACAAGCAAGACTCTCCCAACTGACCACCAACAGTCAGTTGATATGCTCGAATATAAGCTTTCATTTTGCTATTTAAAAATATTAAAAACTACTATAAACATATACTTGAGGACGTCGAATATCCTGAAGCATTCGCTTTCTAGGTATAGTAAGAAAGTTTTCTGTATACATCTGTTAGAGCTCTAGATGAGGAAAGTGATTTGAATACTCAAGAGAAAAAGATAAATAAAATAAACATAAAATACTAATTCCACAGGGTATCTTGGATCGAATTTCTTTCCTGATGAGATCTATTGAACGACTGTGCACTGAGCCATTGTTAACTAGGGTACAAGCTGTTCTTCAGTCTCTGGTATGTAAAATATTTTCTCATTATTATACAAATACCAGCATCAAACTAGAGAATAATTAGAGAGAGTTCATGGCTTTTATGGCAACCCACAGCAAGTGATGCTGTCTTGACAAAATATAAAATTATCTTTAGCCCTGACTTGAACCTACAGGAGCCCAGCACACAAGCCCGGTAGTGCTGTCTTAGATGAAGCACTGCGAAGGCTCCGCGCTTCCTCGGGCCTCCGCTTTCTTCCTGAATGAACTCCAGGGAATGGCATCATGTCAGGCTTTCCAGATGGATTATGTGAAGCCATAGCTCAATGTCATTTTCAATAGGAAGCCTCATAATTAAAGGTCAAATAGTCACTTCATCTGCAATCAATCAATAGAAAAAGTACTAATACAAAGAACTAATCAATCAGTGGCAAATGTGCTAATAAAAGCAATGAATCAAATTCAGCGTGTGTGTAGATGCAAGTACATGGAAGCGACTGAGACTGGGCAAAAGCAAGAACAATAAAGTAAATTGAAAGTGTGTGTACAAGAGGATATTCAAAGGGCTTCTCAAGCAAGAGTTTTCATCTCTGGTTCAGTAGGTACATGGGTACCACTTGGCCTGCAATGACGTCTTCTTAAATACAAATACTAGATGTAATAATGAATGGTATTTGATAAGGCTCACTTAATGTATTTTATTTGAGATGTTATGTGTGTGTGTGTGTGTGTGTGTGTATGTAAAACCACTAGAACATACTATGACAGTGATTGCAAAAGGGATAGATGTAGCTTCTAAATGCCAAGTGGATATGATCTGTTGTATTTCACCTTTGTGTGAGAGGTGAGAAAAAATATAGGATCTAAACACCTCTTGCTATATGTGAAAATAAGGGTGCTCCTGGGACAGGGGTGATCCATGGCACAGCTCTGAGACAAGGGACGCAGCAAAGAGGCCATTTTTATTATTGCTAGGTAGGCGATTGTGGAGGGAAGGCAGGTATAACCAAGGCATGATAAAACAGTCGCGTTGGAAATGAAAGTCCCTAATCTAAGAGCTAAGGGAAACTGAGGCCTGGGAGGTTATCAGAGGAAGAGTCAGGGTGAGTATTTAGGGTTTGTAGTTCCAAGACAGCTTATCATGGTACAGAAGTAACTAAGGACTTACACTACATGCTCACTTAGATAACCACACTAGTATCATATTGGAGGATCTGAGTATCTGTTTCATGGGAGAACACTACAAAAACCAAACAAACTCCAAGTTAACACAATCCTTTTTTAGCAAAATAGCTCCTTCTGATATGTGTTCAGAGCATTTGTTTGCCTGAAAAGTAGCTTCAGAAAGTATCAAAAACAGAAGAGTATGACTTTGGGATTAAGAAAAAAAAAACAAAAACCAAGAAAAAAGATTGCATACATATTTTGCTTATGGAAAAGAAGAGAATATGATTGCACTGTGGTATGCTTTTGGGTAGAACTCTTGATTCAATGCAGGCAGCTCCAGCACAGAAGAACATCATGGAGAAACCAAAAATCCATTTTGGTTTTCTTGACAAAAGCAAATCCCTAGGGGTGGGGTGGGCTCAAAAGCCCACTGCAGAAGTACACAAGTGTATTTGATGCAGCATCGATCAGCATCTGCTCCAAGGACATGGGCTCACTGGGTCCCTGACTCAGGACACCTGCAGCACCTGGTGGCACATGCTGGACTCCTTTATAATAGCCCCTCACTTTTTAGGAGCCCTGGAACACCGGACATCACATCACAATAACCACATGGGGGAAAAAGGGCAAGATGATTTCTTTGAGATCAACGATTAAACCATATCCGTTACATACAAATCTATAAGCAGGGGGCAGGAGACTGGAACCCTGGACATAGTAACACAGTCATAACTAGTATAGTTATAATAACAACAAGAGCTACTGCACAAAGAGGACCTACTATGTGTCAGGCAGCACACAAGCTCTTTAGGTGAGCGGTCTCATTTGGTCCGCAGCACCCGACACACAGTGCAATCATTGCACACATTCTGTCACGGACTGACTACCTACTATGTACAAGTACCGTGCTAGGTACTTAACAAATTTTATTTTTAATCTTTACAATACCCTTGTGAAGTGAGTATTATTCTGCCCCATTTTACAGATGAGAAAGCTAAGGTTCATGGAGGTTATGTGATTTGTCCAGGGTCACAAAATCAGGATTGGAATGTGGCTTCCAAAGTTCTTTCACCTTCAAGTTGATGGTGATTGAAAACCTAATGGACACACTGCAATGTATGAACAGTATAAATATAATTTATTCCCATAAGCTGAAGCCCTAGATAGCAACTCATCCTTCAAGAGTTTGTCCAGTTTCTAACATTTTCCAAACTTGGCAAGACTGACAATAGATTCTATCAGACACATGTATGTGGGGTTAGTAAAAACATCATGAAATGCCCTCCTTGTTCTAGTTTACAGACTAAACTTCTTCACCATGAGCGGACTTAACGCCAATGTCATGATTCTTCAGTCTCTTTAAGTGAGCCCCATGCCAAAATGTAAAGGAGTTTTTACTACAAGTTCTACCACAATGTGCCTACTACCCCAAGGAGTTTGTGAATAATGTATATTTCAATAAAGTTTCTGATTACTTAATGAATTTTAATGACTGAAAGCATGGGCTCCGGATGTCTGGACACATTATTGGGATAATGCCACTAAAGTGGATAAGAGTAAGTGGAAAAGAGCATTTTTCTTCTCGATCTATTTTTTGTCCATTAACTAAATACTTATCTCACTTTAGGTGCTAATCAGATTGAGTTAATGATAATGATACTGTGTTTCTTTATAGAACATAACACTTTGAAATGAACTTCAAACAAATGTCAGTATCAAATTAGAGAAATAACATTACCTCTACCTTGCTCCAAGCTTCCAGAAAACAAGTAAAATTTTCCAGGGCCAACTCCAGAGCCTACTAAAGTTTTTGCCCATCACACTGCCATCCCCCACCTTTTAATGTTAAACATTCTACATTGAAAACCTTTGATGAGAATCAAAAACATTATTACAAATTAAGCTAATCCTACACTATTAAATTTAGGCCCTCAAATATTGATTCAGTCATATAATGGTATTTCAAAGCAATGACCCATTCTCACTTTGCTGTAGTTCTTTAACTGAGTGGACAATACCCCACTCCATTTAATTTGAAGAGATGCTTGAATTTCACAATCGTAAAATACAACTATCTGAGGGTAATATTTAGTTTTTAGTTTGTGAATCACTTACCCAGTGTGAGGGATTTGTGTGTAGAACAGAAAATGATAGCCACAGTGTCTGCTGGTGTGAAAACCGAATTATTCCTAGGGACCAAAAAAAAAAGTATTTTACAAATACTTTTATTACAAAGNGAATTATTCCTAGGGACAAAAAAAAAAGTATTTTACAAATACTTTTATTACAAAGCCTCATTAAGACATCCGAAATCAAATGAAGTATCTACCTTCATGTTAATATCCTTTTGATCAATCCTAGTGACACAAATATTCTTTGCCCAAATGTACAGAAGTGACTGAATTTCTTTTTAGAGAACCATTTCTGAGTCATTTACCCATGAAAAGGGGACAGATTTAAAAATATGTGGTGGAGGTCTCCTAAGGTCACGTATGTAGTCGGCCTGTGGTGCAGGACTTTGTGAAAATCATGCAGCAAGTAACTCATTGAAGTCGCTGGGCTGTCCCTTGATATTAACCTAGTGGCTTGAAAGAGTTCATGTGTCTCCCAAACTGCTCCCTCCAGGAGTGACATCTCATTTTGGCAGGAAACACACCATTTTGAGAAATACATGGTGTGAACAAAGATTTAAAATCATATGTTTTAGTAAAAATAATAAATCGCCTTTCTTCAAGCAGTTACCGTATATCAGGTACTCCTCTAAGGCCTCTGCAGTAAAGACGGCAACCCCATAAGGCAGGCGAGACAACAGCCCTATTTACAGGCAAGAAAACGGAGGCACACAGACGTTGCCTAACTTACCGAGGGCCCCATGGCTAATAAGTGACGGAGCCAGGATTTAAATCAAGTCTGGCTCCTGTGTCTATGCTTTTAAATTGCTACATTCTACTATTGTTATATAGTAACTTGGGCAGAGTCCTTTACATGAGATGGGCATCAGCACAGGTGAGCATCATATTCAGATTTCCTACTTTCATATAAAGATTTAGAGAACCAGGAAAAAGGTTAGATATGTAATTATTATTCTGTCCTTGTTATGTTAGAAACGAGTGTTTCCTGCAGAACCAGGGTTTGAAGACATAGTGCGTCTCTTCACTCTTTGCCCTGAACTCAGACAAGAGAGCCAGCAGATGGAAAAGTGCCCTGGAGCCTGCCAGCACCTATATAGCGGCAGATGTCACCATCTATCCGATTTTTAGGGATCTCTATAAAAGAGATCCCATGTCCCTTTGTAACCTCAGTCTCCTATGTAACTTTTGTTGGGAGAAAATGAGCATAGGGACTGTATCTTCCCTAAATAGGTCCCCACGTCCTGTTTCCTTGGTCATAATCTCACTGGAGCGGGGCGGGTCCTCCTCTCCTCTTCCTCCCCATTCTTTGGACACGTGTGAAGAGGGCATGTCATTGTCCTTGGGCGTCCTCTCTGGAAAGGCACATATGCGCATGCTTCCTAAACAGACTTACCTCCGGCTCTTGTTTGATAGCTTTCCAAACTGCATTTTTGTGTGTTCCACCTCAGTGGAGGATTGTGTGTGGATATGGATCACTCGAGTATAATAAGATTGCCTTATTGTTCCTACGCTTTGTTCTCATATTTATCTTGTGATGCCACTCTTGCTTTTTAAACATTGGGCTACATGGCTGACACATTCCTCCATCCCTTTGTTTCTCATGTAAGCTCAGTGTGAAAGGAGCTATGTAAGGCTCTGTGAATGCCTGGAGGAAAGGAATACAGATACATATTCTACAAAAGAGAAAGAGATCGAGAATGAGAAAGAGAAAGAGAGGGAGGGAGGGAGAGAGAGATGGATTTAGCGCTGAAAAGAAGGATTATCTCAAGCTTGGCAGGGGAGTGCGGTGTGAGGATGGAGCACGTAGAGAAGCCTCTGGAAGGCACTAACAATTGAGCTGGGCTTCAAAGAGCAGGCTTGGACACGTGCAGATGTGTATTTTAGGTAAGGAATAGCAAAACGGAAGTGTGGGGGTGCGGGAGCAGCTGGCAAGGAACGGTTCTTCAGGTTGACTTGCATGCAGGGACACTGGCTTGTGACAAGGAGCGTGAGCTGCGTAAGACGGGATGAGGAGTTTGAAGAGGAGTAATCAGACAGCACGGTCTACAATGGAAGAGGATGAGGGCGGCAGGAAGGAGACAGCGAAAAGGGCCTGAGAATCGCAGTGAGGGCAGGAGATGGTGGCAAGAGACGTGAAGACAGAACTTAATCGGCTGTTGACCTCTATGAAATATTCTCCCAACAGGTTAAGAGCACAGGCTTTTGGGGCAAATGCACCAGAATTTAAACCTGGACCACCCTTTTGCTTGTATAGAAAATGGGGATACACTGCCTGCCTTTTAGGGTCTTTGTGAGGATGAATCCAATGTCTGTTAAGAATCTGGCACCGTGGAAATGTTGAACACATGCTGGTTGATGTTTTTATTGTTATTGCTGCTTTGTGAGAGGAAGAGGAGTTAAGAGAAATGAAAAGCATATAGGACTGAGAGGAGCACTATAGCATTAATGCAAATAGGGAATGGAAAAGGTCCAGCGAGGTCTGGGGGGAGGCCCGGGAGCTGCTGCTTAAGTGTACTGAACTGGCAGTCGTGAGAGGGGACACGTTTTCAAGGAATCGGATGGAGAGAAGAGAAGGATCATGGGAGATGTGAACATGATTATATATAGAGAGTGAATATGCAGCAGCTAGAAACAAAGATGAAACCAGGTCTTCAAACGGGCCTGAGAGGATAAGACCGAGGGGGTTAGCCTGAGACAGACGCTTCCCATAGTCTGTGAGCGGGAAACAAAAGAAGACGAGGTGAGTGAAAAATACGGAGCCGTGTGAGGTAGAGAATGGGAAAGTGGAGGCAATTTATAGCAGAGGTTTTACTTTCTTTATGAAGCGTGAGCCACTTCACTCATCCACAGAGTTTGATGCAATACTGAGGCCTGGGAACCTGAGAAATTAGAAAGGCTCGAAGTGGGCAGATTGGAGAATATGGTGTACAGTCAGTTCACAGTGAATAAATCACTGCTGCAGGAATGAATTCCCCCCTGTGGCTGTGGAGCAGGCAGCCTAACCAGCTGCCCTAGTCCAGGCTGTCCTCCAGCAGTGCTCGTGGTGCTCAGAACACCACCAAGGCCTGTCTTCTTAGTCTTTTGTTGCCCTCGTTATAACCAATTGTTGCTGCATCTAGATTTGTGCAGTTAGGTTTTCTTCCAAGAGAGTCTGGCAACACATTTCTCCTTTGGCGAACTTTGTTCTGCTTGATACTTGTTCTTTTCCAGATTATAGCACATTTCCAGTGTGTCAAAATCTCTGGCCAAGAAGGCTCTCATTTAACCTGGTGCTGGCGGCCATTGGTCAGGGCAGCACTTACAGTGTGGTTAAAGAGGGTATTTGCACATCACACTTGACTGTCCTCTGGTTCAGGTAAGGAGTCTGAGGCTAGGCTCCCCCTGGGAGGTTTCTGGCCTCATCTAAGTTGAAACACTGCTGTATAGTTCTCCTGACACACAGCCTGTCAGTCAGGAGGGGGGATCAGTACATAAAAATGGAATGTTGAAGGTTAAGGATAATATTCTCCCTTGACAGGGCTGACTTATACTTTTCAAAGTAGCAGACTGCTTCACATCATGGATCCTGGAGAAACCAACAGAGCCGACGCTGACTTAACCCTCCATTCATGATGAGGAAGATGACCATCACGGTGAGGAATGACCACAGCCATCAACAGTTACTGAGCGCTTTTCTAAGCACTTAGCTTCTGGTATTTCTTTCTTCTCGGGGCAGCCTTATAAAGTAGGGCGTATTATTACCTTGCTTTTTGCACAAAAGGAATCGAAGCACAAAGGGGTTAAACAACTTCCCTAAGGTCACACAACTATTGGGTTGTCGGAAAAGTCATGGCGCATTTTTACAATGAAAAACATTAAAAAAAAAAGTCACAACTTTTCCGACAACCCAATAGTAAGTAGGCTGCTCCAAGTCTTGGAGATAAGTTTTCCTCTGAGAAGGAAATTATAAAGAACAAAACAAAACAAAATACCACCAAATTTAATGGATGAGAGCAGCTATCCTGTTCAGTGACCCTCCGTCAGCCATACTCTGTGAGGGATGGCTTACTGGGAAGACGTGTCAATACGCAGGAAGCACATTGTATTTAAATAGTAATGACTATAATTATTTTCAGTGATTAGCATCTCTATTGTGTCTGCTCATATTTTTAAAAGGAATCACATTACTATTTATCTTCTAATTCTACCTGATCTCTTTTTAATATTCATTTGCTTTTTATCTTGTTTTTATAATTCTTTTGATCACTTTGGCTTCCCTTGAGATGTTTATTTCCTTTTCTTCCCAACTGGTCTTTTTATTCTCTCTTACAAAGCTTTCCATCAGCGTTTCCAACATAATATTTAGTTTGCCTTCCCTCGCAGCGCCCACAAAGGAAAACATGTCAGAAGGTTTTACTGGCAGAATCACAGAATGTGGAGCAGAAAAGGTCCTCAGAGAGAGTCTCGCCTAAGCCCACTGTGTTTAGAGGAGGAAACGTCCATGTGAAGTACTTTTCTTTGTTAACCTCTCTACCTGTGTTTTGTCTTTACTCATTTTAGGAGATGACCTTTGTCTGTCACTAGCTGAGTGGCACCAATCAAGTTACCCAGAGCTCTGGGGCTTAGTTGCCTCATCTCTGAATTGATAAGAGACTTACCATTAAGGACACTGTCTTCTTCCCTCCCTCCCTCCCTCTCTCCCTCTCCCCCTCTCCCACCTTCCTTCTCTCCCAGGGGTAAAGTGAGAGGCCCCCTGAGACATCTGGCTGAAAATGTACCGATAAGGATTAAAAGACCTACACAAATATTTGAAGATTTGTTTTCTTCTTTTTCCCTTGTTAATAGCTTCTTTTGTCTCTCTAGTGACACTCTAGGTTTTCATTACTCTGTTATCAGCTTAATAAACTGTCATATATAAATATTTTCATATACACCGGAGGTACCAAAAAAACGTATACAAGTGAACACTTTGGTCCACGTTGCTCGAGCAGTAGTTCTCCTTAATCAGAAGTGTCTGGCTGCTGATGGGAACCACTTTGAGCACCTCTAGTAATTGCAGAAGTCAAACGTGACTTGTATTCATCTTTTGTTATCAGTATATATTGAACATTACAATTTTAATAGTTTTTTCCTTTCTTAAAATGTATATACAATTTTTTGGCACCCTCTGTACGTATCTTTTATTTACTTGTTAACTATTTGCCTCCCCATTAGACTTTAAGCTTCATGAGTACAGGAGCCATAGTTGTTTGTTTACCGTTACAAACCCAGAATATGCACCCATTAAGTATGTGTTGAATGAATGAGTGTATATATATTTATTAAATTTACTGGGGTGACATTGGTTAGTAAAATTATATAGGTTTCAAGTGTACAATTCTATAATACATCATGTGTATATTGCATTGTGTGTTCACCATCCAAAGTCAGTTCTCCTTCCATCACCACGTATTTGATCCCCTTTTCTCTATTCTACCTCCTGTCCTCCCCTTTTACCTAACTCTGGGCTCTTAACTATAGCTTTTTTGTTTTTTTAAGCCTTTTCAACATTTTTGTTGTTGTTGTTGACAGCTTTCCAAAGTTGCAGAAAGCTTAGGTCACTATGGATGGCTGACTCTTGGTTTGATGATCAACTTTCATTTCCTAGCAACTGTGACACAGACACGTCAAAAAGAATGTATTACAAAGCTAGAAATTATAATTCCCTCTCTTCCATAATTACTTCTTGAAATAATATAAACTATTTTGATATAACATTCTACAATAGCTAACATTTATTGAGCACTTACTGTATGCTAAGTATTATGCTGAGGGCTTTATAAACATTATTATTTAATTCTCCAGATGACCCTATGAGACAGATATTACTACTGTCTCCATTTTATAAATGAGGAAACAGACACAAATTACAAAGTTATTAAATAGGATTGAAACTCAAGTCCGTCTGGCTGTAGTCCATCTGGAATTTATAACCTGAACACTTTTCTATAGGCAGAGAAATGAGAACATAGAATAATAACTCTCAAATATATTTTAAATACTCAGAATAGAAGAGGTTCACAGGTCAGACACTAGAATGGTAACATATCAGGTCAGTAAATCTAAGGAATGTTAACCAGGTAAACAGAGTGTTGCAGGAAAGTTGAATTTTCAAGGCTGGGTCTCTCCTGTTTTATGCCAAACTTCCATCATCAGAGGTCAGTGGTATACTATACAAAAAAGGCTGATTTCCATGCTGAGATTTTTATGCCTTGATGTGTGGATTGGTTTTAGATTTATTGAATTGGTAAGAAAAAGATGAAAAAAACAAACAAAAACAAACCCACAGGCCAATTTCACTGATTTTAAGTAGCAAGGAATAAAAAGTAGAAAAATAAAATAAAACTCAACAGCATATAAACCAGTGGGTCTTAGTTCTAACTCTTAGTATCTCTGATTAATTTGTTTGTGCCTCTGTGTGAACTTGAGGAATCCAGTTAAACATTCTCTCCAAATTCCCTAACCAAAACAAGTATTATGAATTTTAACAGTAATTGAAGTAGTTTAGTGCAGTAGAAAAAGCATGGGTCAATGCTTTGGAAATGTCAAATGCAAATGAATTTCAACTCCAGGCGTACTATCTGCCATCAGATTTTGGGTAAGATACTAACCTACTAAAATCTGACTTTAGGCAGGTTACTAAACTACTCTAAGCATGGGTCCTCACCTGCAAAACAGAAACAAAAATGCATGGTATCATAGCCTTTGCTATCAGACTCACATGAAATAATGTGCACCATTCCTACCTAGCACAGTGCCTGGCAGAGAGCAGGGTTCAATAAATGCTGGTATTTTTCATTCCTCCAATAAAATCCTCAGGTGCTATAGGGTCTTCTAGCATGAAAAAACACAGCAAAAACCATCTTCTAAATTCTGTACAGTTAAAAAATCCCCAAATTTTAACAGAATATTTTGGGGCTACACAACAATTCCCCAAGAGTATCATTACAGCCACTCCATATTCTGTTGTTTATCAAAGACACACACAGGCCTGACATTGGGCCAAGTTCAAAATGCAACAGAACGTCAGTGGAGGCAGAATAAGGCAATAGAAAGGCCTCGAAACCACAAGGCCTACGTCCAGTCTACAGGCTGAACATTTTCAATTTTAATTCAACTGCTTGTGATCCTACCACCTCTCCTTTAGCAATCCCTGTAGTGGCTATTCTGTGCTTTTCCAGAATTTTTCAGTCACTGACAGGATATCTGTGTCCTGCTTAGTCTGATGGGACAGGATGCGCGGGTCTGAAGAGCACTACTGCCACCAAGACCAGCAAACAGCCAGTGAAAGGCAAACGTCTTTCCTAAAGTGACACAGCAAACCATTTACAAAGAGAACTTAAAAATAGCTCCTACTCTCAGACTACCCAAATAAGTCACATTTGCTCTGTGACTTAATGGCCCCAGGCTTTACTCTTACTCATAAATCACAACCACAGGCTTGGGAAAATGCTTCAAATTACACCAATCAATACGTTTTTATTGACTGTTTGCAATCAGCCTCCTGCCATACCAACTGCTGTAAGAGCCAGCTGCCTAATGTGAGGCCTCGGCCATCGACTGCCCGACACCATCAGGCCTCAGAAACAACCGGGCCCTCTCCCTCGTGGCAGCGCATCGCCATCACCTGGTGTCCTCAGGCCTGGTGATCTGGCCCAAGCTTACCTTTCTGGATGCTACTGCTACTTTTTAAAATTTTCCTCTACTTCTACCATGGTGTGTGTGTGTGTGTGTGTGTGTGTGTGTGTGTGTGTGTGTGCGCGCACCCACATTTGCATTGTTGCTTCTTCTCCCTTCAAGAACCCCCTTTGCATCTCTCTCTGTTTGCTGAATACTTAGCCATTCTTTATGACTCATGTCAAACCCTGTCTCTTCCAAGAGTCCTTGCTCTGTCACTGTCTTTGGAAGCACCTCCGTCTTTGAACTGACTACAGGTTGGCTGACTGTACCACTAAGAGGGCGCTAAGGTATTAGTGCATGTATCTGGTTTGTAAACTCATGCAGGATCAGAATTATCTCTTATTTGTGGCTCTCACTATGGGAATGCTCTCCTACCAAAAGCTTAAGTAATGTCTGCTGAGTGTATAGCACTGGTGGGAGAAGTTGTTTAGAGGTGAGCCTTTCAGAACAGGAAAGATGAACTAGGATACAAAGACCAACTTTGACATGAGGACAGCCCTAGCAAAGGACAGACATGAGAAAGCATGAGATGCTTTTAGGGGACAGCAAAGACGTTACCTCAACCTAAAGCTTAGAGAGCATGATTGCTAGTAGTGGTTCATGAGACTGGCCTTGTCCCTCGCCCCTCAAAGTGCACTTCATTCTGCAGGTACTGGATAAACATTGAAGAGCTCTAAAGAAGAGCACTGTTATTAGAACTTTGGTTATTGAAAGCAGTATGAAATGCATAAAAAAAGTTAGGCTTAGAAATGAAAATACCAGTAAGATACCCATTGTAATAGTCCAAGGAGAGAAGAGGCAACAAGCGCCCAAATTAGGGGAGTGGCTTTGGAAGCAGAAAAAGTATCACAGAGGTAGATCAAGAGGTTTTGTGGATGGTGGTCCCATTAACCATAAGTAGTGGGAGAGAAAGATAAAATCTTGGGAGGAAAGGATTAATTCCATTTTGAGTATCTTGAGTCTGAGGTCTTATTAACACAGTCAGGTGACGATATCTAAATGGTCAATGGTCAGTCGTGCTGGAACTCAGGAAACACATCAGAATGGGAGGTCTAGGCTCGAAAATCATCAGCTGACAGCAGACAGCTCGAGCCAGTGGAATACAGGAGGTTGTCTAAGTACATGACCTGAACGGATGAGACAAGGGTCAAGGACAGATCCTTTCATAATGTCCCCAACTTGAGGGTGGCAGGAGCAAGACAGAGTGGTCAGGGAGACAGGAGAAATACTAGAATCGTATAGTAGTGGCACAGAAGTCAAGTAAACAGCACGATTCCTCACTCAGGAAACTAGCAACAAGAAAGACCAAATCACTTACCTTGTTGAAAAGATGAAGGTTAAAAGCATAAAGCTCAGCTGGATAGAAAATACTGAAGAAAAAAAAAAAAGATTGAATCTAAATTAGCACTATAAAAGCAGTATCTGTAGCATATTTACTGGTATGCTTAGTTTCATCTGAAACTTATGGGGACTCAAAAACAAATGAATAAACCAAACATACATAAATTGCTAAACTGATAAAAATCATTTAAATTAGTGGGACTCAACCTGTTCTTATTAAAGATATCCCCAGATATAATCTATGTCTTCTCAGGGCAAATCTAAAATCCTTTGATTTATAATTTGGTTATTTAATTTGTTTAAATTAGAAAGAGCTGGTTTATATTATAGGTATTTATAGCAAATAGCATGGATAAGGGAGCATATAATAAATATGTTGGAATAACTCATGTTGATTTTAATAACAGATGATTCTTCAATATTAGAATGACCAAAAGATGCCATTGGTATTACAGGATAAATGGAACAAAAGATTTCTTTTTGTTGTTGTTGTTAACAACCAATGCTTTAATTACTTATTACATTTAAAAATATAGTTCTGAGCTCTGCCTGTAGCTTGACGGAGGCTGAGAAGTGGGAAATAGCCACGATGAAATGACTTACACGCCCAGACTGACCTCTTCTGTGGCGGATGCTGCCTACCTAGGAGGGACACCCACTCTCTCCTTCCCATCTCTACCCTGGAGCAGGAGTCAGCCAAGTTTACGTAAAGGGTCACAGAAAACGTAGTTCAGGCTTGAGGGCTGTATGGTCTCTATGGCAACTATTCAGTTCTGCTTTTGAATTGAAAGCAGCCATAGATGATACATAAACAAACTGTTGAACCTAGCAGCTACTAGCATTTTATAGTCTGCTACTTCTTACAATGCAATGATAGGACTTTGGGTATAGTTTAATAGAAAGATGATGTAAATATTCACATTTTAACCAATGTGGCCATTTATTATAAAATAATAGTATCGTATGTTATAAATTCTACTTTTAATTCACAATAAAGAATAAGGTTAGCTTAAAGTTATAATAAAATAAATATGGCAAAAAAAGTGCTCAGTCTAACGTGTGAAATTGACAGATGTTACGGCTTCTTTTACCTGGCATCAGCTATCGTAAATCAGACATAAAAACACAAAGGAGAATATGTCCTAAGTGCATAGCTGATGTCTTTTCAAAGAATACATACGTTGTGTGAGACAGTCACTGAGTACATATCATATGACAATAAGCATTCTTTTTGAATCAAATTAACATTCCAAATGGCTTCAGGGAACACAGATTGCTCTGTCTTGCGGCTGAGGGGACGGAGCAGATAGCAAGGATATCCCATCTTCCAACTTACTTATGAAGAGTACAAGAACGAGGCTGAATTTGTCCAGGTCGATATTTGGGTTAGAGAACGTGTCACAGAATGTGGTGTAGATGATCATGAGCAGCACACTGCTGCTGACAGCACCAAAAGGAGGTTTCGTCCTTTCAAGCCAGTCCTTGATATACCTTCGGACGATCTGAAATACAGAGATCAACAGGTTGCCTCTTGTCAGAGATGTAGGACATGGAATTGGGCATTGCAAAGTGATTGTGACAGCAGAAAGACATAAAAGAAGAGTAATTTGGATGAGGGCCACAGTGGGTTTCAAAGCTTCCCTGCTACACCACTCTTCTTCTGGGGATTTAACATTTGTAAGTGCAACTTCCACGGGTGTCCATAATGAGAGTATATTTTCAACGGCATTCAAATCCATCCTTAATCATGCCAAATGCTCTTTGCTAGCTGTCACCGAGACATGCCCATTAAGCCTCCCCAAAGTTTATCTCCTCTGCTCATCCTAATGGATGTGTGTAATTATCACAGTCCCCTTTGCCTCAACAGACAATTCCAAGTACAACTTTGGGAATCTTAAAAATCTGACATCTTCAAGAATTTCAAGACAGTAGATAATCGAAAGTGATCCATGGAACACATTAATATTTAAAATGCTAGCAATGCACCAGAAGTTTTTAATTAAATTATAACTCATGCTTGAAAAGCAAAAGTGCATGTGTTATGGGAGCTTAAATAATTCAAACTCTGAATATCTAGAGTTTTTGTGAATCCAAAGACAAATGCCATTTGCATGCTTTTAGGATTCTAGAATTAAGACTTAAAAATGAATAAACCTGTCCTAACTTTCCTACAAAAGGACCAGCCAAATATAAAGTTATACAGCAATCCTCTCATGTTTAAAAACCAAATCAGATATTTAAAACCAGGACAGTCTGAATATTGGTGATAACTTTCGTTTTGATATAAAAGGGAACCACTCTATTTAAAACCTTTCATTTTTGAAAGAAGCTGAACAAGCTCTATAATAAGGACTATAGTTGAGACATATTAAGTTTTGAGTCACTCATTATCCTGCATAATTGAACATGAGATTTCACAACAGGCTGAATTACCATGATCCATTAGCAATAATGAGGTCAGGGAACTTCTGACAAGGCTGATGGGGTTCTGTCATCTTCTACTCTGTCACTAAAAAGGCTTAATTCGCAATGGAGCCTACCTTCACAGATACTCAGGAACAAAATAAACCACTCTTGAGAGAACCTCTGAACAAATGACTGTTAGATCAACTTTGTCCATTCTCTCAAGGACTCAGTAAGTGAAATACCAGTGTTAATAAACACAGTCCTGTCAGAAAGCTGACCTGTTGGTACAAGAAAGACACCATGAAGGTTGGGTGGGATGGAACGAAGGAGAAAGAGTGGTGTGTGTGTGTGTGTGTGTGTGTGTGTGTGTGTGTGTGTGTATACATTTTTTAAAAAAAGTAAATTTTCTAATTAAAGTTACAGTTGCATTTATAAAAATATTATCTTTGTAGAAGTGATCCCAAACCACAGTAATTTATCTAATGTTCATTTCCTTCTGTCAAGTTAAAATGTAGTGAAGTACAGAGAACTAAGAGTAGTCCATCACACAGTGCGATACACTGATGAATTAGAACATAAATTTGGGATAACAGCACTCAAGGGACCCAGCCAGCCCCATGTTCAGGTATGTCACCGTGGGGGTAGCTGCTTATTGGAAGGTTACTGAGGGTCTTCATTGAAAAGGTCATTTCATAACCTGTTGTGTTTGGTAGCATAAACCTGGTAGCTGCCCAAATTTAATACAATTCAACTCCCTTAGGAAGCAAAATAAATGGAAATTGTACAGAGTTATTGAAATTGATGCTGTCCTCCTATTTTGTTTTAACATAAAATAGTTAAAAACCCAAAAGTCCCCTCTACAATAGGTTATGGAATGTATGGTCCTAATTCCAAAGGCAAGTGTCTTCCTCTCCCACTACCACTTTTCCTCCCTCTGACAAAATAAACAAATAAATACAAGGTGTGACCAACGACATGGTGAATGTTCAAATTAAAAAAAAAAATTATTACAGTAAAAGACACATTGCCATTAATCCACCTCAAAATACTCCCCCTCGCTTCAAACACACTTATCCCATCGTTCTTGCCACTTTCTGAAGCAGTTCTGGAAGTCCTCTTTTGTGAGTGTCTTTAGTTGCGCTGTTGTGGCTGCTTTGATGTCCTGAATCTATTCAAAACATTTATTACCTTTCATGGTCATGTTGACTCTGGGGAAGAGCCAGAAGTTGCACGGTGCCAGATCCAGTGAATAAGGTGGATGAGGTCACACCATAATATTTTTGTTTGACAAAAATTGCTGTATACCAGAAGCGATGTGTGACACAGAGCGTTGTCATGATGGAGGATGATTTACGGCACACTTTAAAACACACCTTCTCTCAGCTGTAGCTCACACCCGACTGACTGCATTGAACAAGTTGAAACTTGTTACACTCTGTTATAAGGTTCGACGTGCCACTTCCCATATTGAAGACCCCCTACTTTCTGTTGGATGGTACTGGGCAGCAGCATTCACCATATTTTTTGATCACACCTCGTATAAATGAGGTAAACTCGAAAGTCAAAGCCATTTTAAAAACCAAGATAAATCTTTAATCAACTTTATAAACAGCAATCGACTTAGTTAAGCTAATAACCTCTTTCTTCATTACAAGGTACTCAGAGTCTCAGTAGAGCAGGACTCTTTCAATATGGCAGGTAACAAGGACTCCTGAGTCCTGCAACCCTCCTAGCTAAAATGCATTTCTTCTAAACACATCAATGCTTTAATGCCAGATACTTAATCTTGATGGAGCAAACAACTAGAAAGTTGGGAATTGGACAGACCAACAAGTAAAACAATAACCCTAGAGGAAAACAGATTGTCTTCCACTGTTTTTAGTCTTATAGTGATACTTATCTGTGTTTTCTAAGTAAACCATTTTATACCTTGCCGGCCTCCATAAAGCTTTTCCATCTTCCTCTAAAATTAAATTCACAAAGCAGCTGCTTTTACACTGTGTAGCCAGAAAAGTGTTAAAATGCTTCATAAACTACTGGGTGGTAGTGTTGATATGTCTCAACGATGTGCTTCAGATATAAACTCAAGGGAATCTCATCTTCTCTTAGCTCAGCCACTTAAACTCTTCACACGGTCATTCTCCATTTGTCAAGAATCCATGTCATTTTTTTTTTAGTTTTCCAAACTCCTTTGTCTTATAGAAATGTTTTAAACCTTATAGGAAATAAGACTTTGCTACAGACAGATCAACACAGCCTGATATAGATGCCCAGAATTCTCTCTTGGAGGCAAAAAAAAGTCAAGGTGGCTGGGAGGAAGGCATACTGGTCAGGGGGCTAGTTGTATTTTGCTTCAGAATCTATACTAATTTATTTGCTCTCACAGCTCAGACAAATGTAGGCATTCAAAATTAGGTGACAAGTCCTCATAAACTTGTTTGCTTTTCCCTACGAAGAGAGAAGGAAAAAAAATCTTCCACAGCTTTTTTATTTTGTCTCACCTCCTACATTTTGATTTGCTTTATTTTAAATTAAGCACCAGTAGAGGTTAAAGGAAAACTTAAATTTGAATCCCTGTACTTCTAATAAGCTGAGTCACACATCAATTCCTGCATGACCTCCAAGCTGGAAATGTGGAAAATTAACACATCTTAGGTGAAGAATGTCAACATACTGAGATAATGAAGAAATGTAATAGCCATCATTTTAGTTTCTATTTTTTTGAGGGCATTTTCTTGCTTTTCCCCCCACTCTGTCTTTACATTTATAAATTTACATTTATATAAATGTATATGAAATATACATTTATATCCCTACATTTGAGTAGGGATATATGATGGATAATTTTCCATTTTAAATCTGAATTTTAAAATTTATTTTTCTTCAAGGGTGTCTTCAGATTGCTTCTTCAAGTTTTATCTGCTATTCTACCGAATCCATAAATTTTCATAAAGTGTTTTCTTGTTCATTAATATTCTATTGAAATCTATAGTCAGGGACATAAAATCAAATCCAATTTATACAACATTCTTCTTTAAAATATTTTGCATTAAATATTGACTAGAGTCAAAATAATATAGTACACTTTGTAAAAAGTATAAACAATAATAATAAATGAATATAATAAGCACCCGTCACTGACTTAACTTTTTGAAAATTCTTTCCCACTATTTCTTCATCTCCTTCTCATGAGAAAGGTCGTACAGATATTATCCTGCTCAGTTTACAGTTGAACACAGAGGCATAAGGAGCCCAAACAACTTATATAAAATGTAAAAAAGCTGGAATACAACTTTTATGTCCTGAGGGGAGACGGCACAAGGGTTAAGGTACGGCCCCTGGAGCCACATGGGCCTGACTGGGGATCATGGCTCCCCCCAGTACTCTGTGCTCCTGGGAAATTCCTTGCCATCCCAGTGCCTCATTTCTAAATAGATAGAATAGTAGATGTAGTGAGAATGAAGTAATTAAATAAATACGAAATCCTTTAGAACCGGAGCCTGTACATGGTCAACAATGGCTATTCTTATTTCCAGGTCCCAGTTTGGTGATGTTTCTGTCATAACACTGTTTGTCAGTATATTCCATGGCACCATTCAGGTGAAGCAATGAAAACAGTTCCTATGTAATATAATTTTATAAATGTGAAATTTTACTAGCATTAATAACATTAACTTCAGTTTTAGCTGAAGACTACTTAATATGAAAAGCCAATATGCGAAACTCACTGATGAGAGACAAGAGAAAGCATGAATGATAAATGATAGACATGCTGTTTATGATTAACGTGTAGAAAAAAAGTGGGGTTAGTGTGCTGTTTTGAAAAACATTTTTCCAAGGTGGTAGACATTCTATGTCATTAATGTTGATTTTTAAATCTCAAAAATGCATAAATGTATTTGTCACAAGCACTTAGATGTATTAAAAGGGTTTATCAGAAAAGGAAAAGAATTATTATACTGACATACATTGTCTTTCTTTCTAGAATTGACATCAGAAGCAATCCCCTGCCCATGTATGTAAAGAGTAATCTTATCTCAGCATCACAGCATCTTCAAGCTGGAAAATATTAAACTCCTGATTCTACAAAGGGGAG